CGGTTCAGGCTTTCTCTTTAGGTTTGACCCAGCCTTTCCTAGTCCCACAGCGACAGTCCTGCCTGCCTCCAGTCAGAGTCCAGATTGAAGTCTTGTGCCTGCTTCTCCAGCAGATGGCAGGTGTGCCCAGGACCCAGTGCCTACAGAGAGCTGGGCACCCTCCTCTCCATGCTGGTGGGCCTGAGGCCGGGTGACTAAAGCTACTGCTGCCCCTGGCAGGCCCAGAGGAAAGATTGATGACTCGGCCATTGCTGGGGCTGGCCAACAGGGCCATCGATTTTCATTTAGGAGAATAATTAAATATTAATTTTCACTTTGTTAAGCTGAGGAGGGTGAATAAGCCAATCCTGGCAGTACAAGAGGAAGTCAGGCCATGTTGGAAGCCTGTAGATGAAAGGGTGAGAGGGGGCAGATGTACCCAGTCACCATCCCCTTCAGAACTTTAGACCCCTATCTGCCACCAGCTTGGCTCAGGTAACAGTGCAGTGGTTAAGTGAATGAGTTCTGGAGCCACACTACTTGCACTCAAAGCCCACATCTTCCCATTAGCAGCTACATGACCTTGGGCAAGTCACTTGTTTTCTGTGACTCAGTTTCCTCACCTATAAAATGGGAATGCCAAGAACAACACCTTCTTCATAGAGGATTAAATGAATTTGAACCTGTAAAGTGCTAGGAACACTGTCTGGTATCAATATATGTTAGTTATCATTATTTCTCTTTTTCCTCCCAGAAATTGTCCCAGTAGTATAGGGCTTCACTGTCCTTATCTCAGGTGCCCTCAGCCTCATAGAGTACCCCAGGTACCCCGTCTCTTGTGGAGCCCTGTGGCTGGTTGAGGAGGGGATTTTTTTTTTAACATTTATTTATTTATTGGCTGCATCAGGTCTTAGTTGCGGCACATGGGATCTTTCGTTGCAGTGCGCAGGCTCTTCGTTCTGGTGCACGGGCTTCTCTCTAGCTGTGGCGTGCAGGCTTAGTTGCCCCGTGGCATGTGGGATCTTAGTTCCCCGACCAGGGATTGAACTGGCATCCCCTGCATTGCAAGACGGATTCTTTACCACTGGACCATCAGGGAAGTCCCTGAGGAGGGGATTTGTTCTCCCAAAGTTCATCTTAATTTTTTCAGTGCCTTTCATTTGCTTTCAGGATAAAGTCCAAACCCCTCAGCCTGGAGTTCTAAGTTTCCTCTTCAGCCACTGCCCTCTGTGGATCTTCTCTCTGGTCTGGCCCCTGCTCACATGGGGGGCCCCTCCTCTACACTCCCAGCCTCATTTCACACCCATCTGTTCCTCTTGTCTCTGCACCTTTACCATGATGTTTCCCACGTGGAGTGTTACCGTTCGTATCATTGACTCAATTCTAGTGACAGAAGTCATTTACTCCCAAGGTTGGATGAGTAATGACTTCTACTATTACTCCTAGTAATGCTGCTGTTACTACTACTACTACTACTACTACTACTACTACCACCAGCTAACCTGTGTTGAGTACTTATTGTCTGCCAAGATCTGTGTTAAGCACTTTACATGACTTAGTTCATTTAATTATTATAACAACCCTACAAGTTCAATTTCACAGATGAGGAAGCTTAGGCTTAGAGAGGTAAAGACGTGCTCAAGGTCATAGAGTAAGTGAGTGGTGGGGCCTGGATCGACACCCAGGTCTGTCTGACTCCAGAGCCTGCATACAGAAGATTGGCGAGGGTGATAAGTTAGTGTTAACTTGACACTGAGTCTTCAAGAGTGAGGCTCAAGTTCCTTCAATTACAAGGATTTGTTCTAGGATCTGACACCCCAATAACAGCCTGATCAGCTCTAAGTAAAGCCTGTCTTATTGCCGGAGAGCTCCAATTCAAAGAAATGACTTCTTTACACGGAGCTGAAATTAGTGCATCTGTTCTTTATACCCCACTGCTCTGTGAGGCCACGCATAGGAAACCAAATCCCTCTTCAGGATCTGAAAGCGGTTACCCACCCCAACAGTAATATGTATCAAGATCTTACTCTGTGCCAGGCACTTGCTAAGCCTCAGTTAATCCTCACAATAGCCCAGTGAGCTAAGTGTTAGTATAACCCACTCCTTATAGGTGAGGAAATTTTCTAGTAATGTATCTGAAGACACAGAAGTGGTAAATGGCAGAGCTGGGATTCAAATCCAGTCTGTGAGTCTCAAAAAACTAGTATTCTTAATTATTATGTTATGATGCCTCCCTATTGCAGCCCCCACTAAACCCTATTTTCTCCAGCTAAGTATCCCCAATTCTTCAAATTATCATTCCATGATATATTTTATGTTCCCATCCCATCCTAGTCTCTTTATGGTAGGCTAATGACCCTCTTAAATCTGAGGCCTGGAAGTGGCTATGTGTCCCATATTTGGCCTGCCCGGGACATTTGAATAGCATTCTTGTTCTAGACATATCACTCCTTGGACAAGAAAGAATGAGGCTGTGTGGTATGACTTGCTCTTGGTGAACCCACACTAGTTCCTAACAATCACCACTTTCTTCCTTCCACAGTAGGTCCCACTTTGCCTTCTGTCCAGTGATTAGCCATTAGCCAAGGCCATATCAAGTGCCACTGATACACAGTAGCCTAGCTGCCTGTGGAATCAGATCTCTCTTAACTTTAGCTACGTGTTTGGGGTGTGGAGGGAAAGCAATCTTGGTGAGTCAAGACACCCCAAAAAAACATTACAGGAAGAGGACCAGAGGGAAGTGCCATCAAGGACCCTAGAACTGGAGGAAGTGGGATTCCAGGCCAGCAGAGCCTCTCCTCCATGTATCTGCATATATGCTCACACCAGTAACAAATGACACCTAAAAATCATGATTTTAGCCAATGGACAAACTCTAGCATAGCTCACAACAGTAATGCCTTTCCTAAGTATGGTACACTTAGCCCAAGAGTCTTGAGCCCATTTCTTTGGACCAGAAGACTGAACATAACACATAACCTGTAGTTGTTAAGGGTACAGGTAAGTCCTCTCCTGGAAAGATGACTCTTCTTCTAGTTCCTGGTCCCAGCCCAGCCCCTATATGCTGCTTTGGCATGCACATAGGGCATGTCCCCAGCCTGAGGTGATTTCCCACCCCCCAACCCTGGTGGACTTACCCCTGGCAGGGTCTTCTGCTCGTGCAGTGCACTCTGGGCCTTGAGAGCAGAGTCCCGGGCGCAGTAGGTGAGGAAGGCACAGCCTGGGGAGGAAGAGGCTGGCTCAGGGGGTTTCCTGAAACCCCCGGATACTCTTCCTGGAAAGACCCCATTAAGTTGACAAACTCAAGGCCACTCTCCTTTAAACAAGGACACTACTTCTGAGAAGGCTTCTCTGCCTCCCACCTTCTCTGAAGGGAGGGGCTTCGTGTGCCTGTGTCCCAGGCTCTGGCTCCTTCTCAATTGCTCGTGGCCTCTTGCCTACGGAACATGTGTACCCACACCCGGTCACATGCGAATACAATCCCACATCTCCCCTCCCCACTCCAGCCATAAATCCTGTTGGGGTTAATAGACCTCCCTAAGCAGCTTTGCCTTCAGCTTTAACCCCAGCCTCCCCTTTCCTTTTTGGGTTCAGAATCAGCCTCAAAGTCTCTCAGAATCAGCCTCAATTCCTTCCCAACTCAGTTTCAGATGGGAGGAGACAGAAGAGGAGGAGAAAGGTTGGGACCCCAGGACCCCAGAACTCCTTCCTAACACCTCCTCCTAGTTTGAGTCTGAGGAACGGATAATTTTGAGGCTTGGAAGATGGGACTGGTTTAAGGGTGTCCTATGGGTAGGAGCTTCTAGGGACTTCCAGTCCTATCCAAGGAACTTGATCTGTCAGCTCTCCCAGGACTTCAAGATAGGGCCTCTTAAATAGTTATTGTGCCCCAAATTTGACTTCTCTAAAAGAATCAGTAGATACAGGGGAGAGAAGGAGTCAGGGTTGAGCCAAAGGATCAGTCCTACCCTCTCTTTGTCCAGCCTCAGAACCTGTAGCCTGCTAGGAAGCACAGGGCCAAGATTTCTTCCTTTCCAAAAGTCATTGAGCACTCACTCATTCAGAAAAGATTTATTGAATACTTATTATGGTGGGACATTATGACGGCTTGAAGGTAAAGTGGCAACAAGACAGATACATTTCCTGCCCTCAGGGGGATCATGTAAAGGATCATGAGGGGGATGTATCTAACTCCACAAGGTTGAGGAATGTCTCAAAGAGCACACTGAATTCTCAATAACAAACGGGTGTTAATGAGGTAACAAAAAGTGTGGCGATTATTTCAAGCAGAGAGAATAGTACATATGATGACTGAGTGAAGAATTCAGTGTGTTGGGGAAATGGATGGAAGGCTAGTATGGTTGGAGATTGGTAACTTAGGGCAGAGTGGCCAGTGAGGTATGCAGGGATCAGCTCATCTATAACCTCAGTCTGGATTTTGAACTTTTCCTAAGAACAGTGGAGAGCCACTAAAGGGTTGTGACATTAGGTCTGTGTTTTCAAAAACAGCCTTCTGAGTGTAGGAGGGAAAAAGACTGAAGGAAGAGAAAGTGGATGTGGGAAGCCATTAGGAGTTTGGTGCAGTTTTCCACTTAGACCTCAGCAGACTTCAAAGGCAAATGGTAACATGTTCTCCAATGTCTCCTATGTGGTTGCCGTCTTAAGGTGGGCGGATATCTGCCATTCGTTGGGTTAAAGTGACCTTAGAGAACTCCTGGGACAAACTCTTATCATATCAATAGGGAAACTGAAGCCCAGAGAGTATACAAGTAGCAGGATAGGGTTTGGAATCTCCAAACTCCTAGGCTGAGCTTGTTTTCAAAGCACTGTGGCTGCCCGCCGTGGTACTCAGCCATCAAAAAGAAAACGAGTCACTCTGGCTTTTGGACATCACTGTTGCTGGGGAGAAGGTGGAGAATATGTTGACTTGGAGACCCTCCCCAGTGATCTTGCAAGGCAACCCCGCCTTCAAGAGCTGTGGGTTGGTTTGGGGATAAATCACCAAACACCTGATTCCGCTTACATCTCCGCTCCATCTACTGCCACCAAGCCATATTAGCTGATGTCAGAACTGGGCAGGGCTGGGGACCTCTCAGAAAGGCTCGAGGGCCTAGTTGCTGCCTAAAGGAGCCCTGTGTGACTACCTGGGAAAGGGAGTGGAAGAATGAGGGATAAAAAGACAGAGAAGCATGGCTTGAAGGACAGATGAATGAAAAAAAAAACCAGGAAGAATTAGAACTAAGTGTAGAGAGAAAGAGAGAAAGGATGAGGGAACAGTTCAGAGACTCTGATGGTGTTTGAGTGAGAATTAAAGGTATTCTATACACTTCCCTTACTGTACAGATGGCTCAGAAAGATTAGCTTGTACTTACATACTGAAATAAATTTCTAGAAAATAAGAAAATAAATTGCTATGGATGGATGTACAGCTGGGCAGCTGGACTGTGTTAGAAGGAATCTGGATGGTATGGTCTTGTCATTTCATGCCCCTCTAAAAATGACCCCACCCAGGAGGGTGGAAGATGCACTGCTTCATAGCTGCTCCCAAATCTTCTATGGGCATTTTCCTGGAGCCTCTATGTTAGTGTGCCTAGGGACTCTCCAAAGCCTCTGAGTTGAAAAGGTGGCAGCCTGATTCCAGCTCTTAGCCCTTAGGAAAGTACATTTAGCTGTTACCCAGAACCCACCACTTCTCTCCTGGAAAGATCATGGAGGATAGTTGGGGACCCTCCCCCACTCCCCAAACCCTGAAACTGCAGCATGGTGAAGGTGGGGAGAGAAAAAGGTGTTTCTTCTCAAATAATTTCTTTCCCCTGCCCATGTACGAATGTGTCTCTATCTCTCTTACTCCAGCCCAGCCTGGACAGACTTTTCTGCATGTAAACAAGCCTCCTCCCTATTCCTACAGGAGGAAAGGGGTGTGGCTGGACAGGACCGTGGTGCGTCTCTCTCTAGCAAGGGCAGGGAGAAGACCCCTTTCTGCCTCTTCATCCTGACCCACCCTGAGGCTCTGGTCCACAGGCTCTGGACCAGGCCCACCCTGTGAGGGAGGGAAAGCAGGAGGCCATAAAGAGGATTGGGAAGGGACAAATATGTGTCACAGGAGTGGGAAGATTAGAGGGTAAAAGAAGTATAGGTTCAGCTGAGAAGAAGCCTGAGATGAGGGGGCACAAGGTGGCTGGAGTTCCCAGCTGAGATCAGAGTTCTGGACTCAAATCAGAAAAGGAAGACAGTGTTGGGATTCTGGATGGGAGTAGGAGAGATTGGGGCTATTGTTAAGCATGAAGGTGGAATTTGGTGCTGAGAGCCTCCTGGGAGGGGAATTGGATTTTGTGACTTAGACAGGTGTGGGTTCTGAAGAAGGGGAGAGTTTGGGTCTGTGCGGTTTTAGGTTGGCAGTGTGAATCAAAAGAATGTCCTGGGGATTGACTGGTTTTGGAGGCCAGAATGAGGGGTGCAAGCCCAAAATGTGTGTGAAGGTGGTTAGGCCTGAGTGGGGTGGCCCCAGACAGGGGTGGAGGGATGGTGGTTCAGGAATGATTGGCTCCAGGGTTTGGGAGATTGAAGGTGTCAGAGACCTAGAAGGTGGAATAAGTTTCCAAATTCCAGGATTTGAGATGTCTGATGGGAGGGATAGAGGGAAGTCCAGCTGAAAGGCGAGCAGTGTTGCGTGTTGCGATGTGAGACGTGAAGGGAAGGGAGTTGGAGGTTAGAGTGGAGTACATGTCGGGACCAGAGTGATGATCAGAGGGAGGATGTCAGAGAGAAAATTCTGGGCTGGGGGTTCTGTGATCTGGGAAGAAGACTGGGCTGAAGTCGGCTGGTATTAGACTGGTGTTGGACTGGCTCTAGATAGGGCTAGGGTTGGGGCTGGGGTTGAGGCTGGGATTTGGGCTGGGCCGCACTCTAATCGGAATGGGGCTGGGCAGGGCTGGGCAGGGCTGGGCTGGGCTGGGCTGGGCTGGGCTGGGCTGACCCCGCGCACCTTTGTGGAGGCCGGTGAGCCGGTCCTTCAGCACCGTCAGCTCGTAGATGCGGCCGAACTCCTCGAACAGCGGCTTGAGGTCCTGCTCGTCCAAGCCCCTCGGAATCTGCCCCACGAAGAGCTTGATGGCGTCGTGGTCCTTCATGGGCACGGCAGGACCCGGGTTTAGCCCGCTCATGCCGACGCCGCTGTCCGCGGTGCTGAAACCCAGGCGCGGGCCGGGGTCGGCGGGCGGCGCAGACCCTCCGGGCGCCGCGGCCATATCCCCGCCCGGTCCGCCCTCCCGCCGGTCCCGCCTGTCCCGCCGTCCCCTCCCTGGACCGGTGGCGAGGGCCAGGGGGGTAGGGGGCGGGACACGGGCAGCGAGGGCGGGGGGCTGCACCGGGGGCGGGGTCCGGATGGAGGGGCGTAGAAAGGGTGGGGCGGGCTGGGAAAGGGCGGGGCAGGGGGCGGGGCAGGCCCGGGCCGAAGCGGCGGGATGCTGGGGTCTAGCTTCAGGTCTCCGCGCCTCGCTCTCTGGGCTCCCGCCCGAGCTCTCCCGGAGCTGAGCCCCGAGCCCCAGCCCCCGTGTTTGATGACGTAAGGCAGCTGGCCGCCGGGTCTACGCAAATGATTTGCATAATGAGGAAGCAGCGGCCAATCAGAGATGGAGTTGACCGGGCTCGGCCAGGGGCGGGCGGGGCGGCAGGGCTCTCGCGCTCCTGCTCGCCATGGCAACCGGACCCTCGGTTACCCTGTGTGTGTCGAGTGTCTGCAGGCGTGGCCGTGGATCGCGCGTGTGCGCCTTGGACCGCGTGAGGGGAAGTAGCTTCGTCATGCGTGGTGATGTCTGCGGGAGTTAGAGCTAACCCCCTCCTCACACACCGGCACACACAAGCACACACACCTCCAATCACTGGAGCGTTTCCTGCGGGGGCGGATGGGGATTCCTCTTCTCCATTCCCACTACCAAAGCCAGTTCCTCGGAGCCGATCCCACCCCGCCCTATCACACAACTCTCCCTTCGGTGTTTTCAACCACTTCCTTACCCACGAGACTCCCGTGCATACCCCCCCCCCAAAAAAAAATAGAATTTTAAAGAAAGAAAAACAAAACAAAAACTCCAAAACACTCCTAGAACATGAATTCCTCCTCAGGAGAGTGAGGGAACTTATATTAGCCATATTTGCTCAGGTGCCTAGTTCATCCGAATTCGTGAGCTCAGGAGTGTTGTCTTCCTTTTCCGGAAAAGGAAGCTGAGGGTCTGAGGGTCAAGGAGGTTAGGATCAGGCCCACCCCTAACATCTGCTGGGCCCAGGGCAAGAGTAGAAATGAAAAACAGACATACTGTGTATCTAAATATTTAAAAGATATAAATCAAGTTACAATTTGTTAAATAAAATATGTTCACTTCTTATTTCCACAAATACACTTTCATAATAAAAATGAAAAAATATGTGTAAAGGGCTTCCCTGGTCACAGTGGTTTTGGGGGTCCGCCCGCCGCTGCAGGGGACGCGGGGTTCGGCGCCCG